TCTAGTGCTAAACAAGTAAAGGTTTAGGGAAGATATGGGGTAAGGGAAAGACAAGATGGTGTTGGAGACAAACCAGCAGCAGAACATTTGACGTTAACAGATTCTTTTCTTCAAACATCCCGACATGGTGATAGTGAATCTTTAAGGAATGAGGATATCCCATCTCCACTGAGGCATGAAATCTGTCAGAAGATAATGTATTTTTGGGAGTTGGTTGTAGACCTTGAAGCGGTATGTCTTGTCAGTATAAGGGCATGGGGATCCAGGCACTAACAAGATTAATACCATTTCTCAACAAACGGGATTTCCCACATTTATATTGCGCAGAAATAGTCCTCCATAAATTTGATGTGAGTACTTGGCAAACGAAGCAGCCATCAAATACCAATAAAAATATGTTTGTTATACCTGCAATATACACCTAAAGAACCAGAGAACATTAATATTCCAGAAGGACTCTTCAGGTACCCATAAAAATCAGATGTTACGGAAACTCTGTCAAGGTTGAGAGGTTCAAACCTTAAGCTGATGTAAAACTCGCATTGTCAAATTTCTTTCTTATTGTGAAAAATCAGGATTTCATACTAGCAGCATGGTTGAAATAATAACAAATCAGGCAGCTCCAGTGCACCAGGGCCATGTGTGCCCTGAGCATGCATGCATGGAAATTCTTTCTGCTTGGATCCATCCTGACTTTTGGCAGTGAGGGGCCAAGTCCCCCTGTCAGATGAGCTCCACGAGCCTCCTTAAGTCTGGGGCAGTCCTGCCTGGGTGTGACAAGGGAGTGGATGTCTCAGGGGGAAAGGGGTACAGCCTTTCCTGGTATGCGCCAAAGTGCGCAAGGAAAGGCTGCACCGTGTGCCCAGGGAAAACTCCCTTAAATAGGATTCCTAAGAGGATGCTGTTTTTAGCTCTCCAGGCAAGACAGCTCCATTGGAGGGTCCAGAGGGCTAAAGAGTACGTCTCCTTTTAGGGACTGCTGGAGCTGAGAGGCTGCGCTAGCTGCTACCACAGGACTGCATTTTACTCTTATCCCCATTCCTCTGCTCCCCTCAGTCCCTCCTCTACAAATGAACTGAGGTGAAGCTCTTCCAGAGGTCTCATCTAGGATAATCAGCCCTGACCACATCACTTGAAGAACAATTGGGAATGTTTCCTACAGGTGCTCTCTCAGCACAAAGAAATGCCGGGGTGATAGACACAGTTTAAATACCTAGACAGATAAAGACAGGTAAAGACAGACAGATAAAGAAGGTCTATCCCCACATCTCTATGTCCCTTGTATCGTCATGTAAAACTGAAGCGCAAACCTTTCACATGTCATCAGTTCCTGTGGCGCAAGGCCAGAGCCTTGTACCTTTACTTGTGGTTAGTAATGACTTGCTGCACAAGTAGTGCCACTGACTTCTCCAGGGCAGCTCCTGGAGGAAGATGCTGTTTAAACCTGGGACTGGAATCTAGGCAATGAAGCTGCAACAATTCACCAGCTACATTTGAGGCAACACTAAGTTTTGCTTTTAATTAATTCAAGAATAAAGCTCATTCAGAGAAAATTGTATATTTAGCGTGTTGTCTCTTCCTACGGATATTAATATTTTGGAGGGTCAGGTAAGTAAATATTAACGTCCTAACACCTCTTTTTATTGCCCTAGCCAAAAAATCATGATAGGGCTGGGAGGTAGGTTTTAAGTCCAGAACAAAAAGTTGTAATCATGCTGTCTAGTGTGTGCAGTCCAGGCCACTCATTTTGCAGCCACCGTTCATGGCATCGTTTCACTTATGGAGACATTTCTGCGCATTTGAATGCATTCCCCCACCTAGTGTTTTGCCAAGTGAGGTTTCTTGGAACTCAATTGGAAAGTCCCCAAAGATCCAGGTTTTGGGTCTCTTCTGAGTTCTAAAAAATTTTCTGATGAAAGCCAGATCAGTTTACACCAAATTGGGTTGATAGGGGGATCCTTGTCTTCTCAGCTAATGGTATGAAACTAGATAAAGGGGCTGATTTGACAGCAGAATAGATTTCCAAAGAGGGGTCATTTTCTCCCATGACCAAATAATATGATACAGATATGCAAGGGTATGTGTATGCCTTTCAACAGCAGGCAGAGCCCAAGAGCTTATCTCTAAACAGCTTCTCTGGTGTCTAGAATAAAGAATGTAAAGTTTCTGAATAATAAGGAAGCAGTTACCTTTTTTATTTTATCTCAAGTGACCAACCACATCAGGAATATTTGAGGTCTCACTCTCGGTAGCACTATGTGTTTTCACTACGAACGTAAACATTGCAGCTTTCAGAAAGCTTTCAGTTCCATGAAAGATTGGGCCCTTCACAGTTTAACAGTGTAATCTTCATAGTGCCTGCACACAATTTTTGACTGGGCACCTATCACTGAATTTATTCCCCAGTCATTAAAATATCTTGATGCACTATTGTTCTGGAGTTGTCATTATCATAACAGAAGTCTGTGGGGGAAAGAGATTGGAAGGATAAATCTCTTACGGACAAATTTGGGCTCCTTTGCACCAGCTGATGTGGAGAAAAGTCCCTGATCCTTCCAGATGGTTAGTTTGTTTTCAGAAGACCTGATGACTGTACTATTTATTTACTATTTCATTTTTAATGTCAACATTGGCATTCTTTCACTCTTTTTTTCTTCAGCAGCCATAAATATCAAATAAGAGTTATTGGACTGTATTTCTGACATGGTGATCTCCTTTTTCTTCCATTTTTGCTTCCTCTCCTATATCCTTTTCAGCAGGTAAGATGTTTTTGCACGTTACAGATTGCCTAACCAACAGTAGTGACTTGAGGTCTGGATGTGGAGGTTGTGACCTACCAAAGCTGAATTTTTCAGGTACCTCAGTCTTTTTTAAGGAAGGTGTGACATTGCTTTTACGGTAACATTCAGTGGGGGAGAGGAAAGTGAAAAGCAGTGGAGTCGTAATGAGATACAAAATCTTTTAGCTCTAAATTGCCAGTGGTAACTGGCAGCTATATGCATCTAAAGATTCTTGCTGGACTGCATGAAGCAAGTTTGTGGTTTCCATCCAGTTTCTTGTGAAAAGCAGGCACCGCCACATACAAATCACTTCGGTTTGTCCTTTCAGGCAGTTTCAGCAAAAAGATAGATGGGTATTTTTCTGGCCCAGAGTTTGGGAGTTAATTTTGCTATCGGTTGCAGTGGCTCTCGTTCCAGAGCTACTAGACAAGGAGCCTGAACTTCCCAAGAGCGGGGGTGGAAGTTCCAGGATCTGGGACGAAGCATATCACAAAGCCCTGCACTGTTTCTGTCCATGTTCTGGGTAATAAACTCAGTGGTTTTTAATCTGGATCCGATGCTCATTTTAAACATGCTGACAACTGCTGGAAATTCATTTTCTTATGGGTCACTCACAGTTACACAGGTCTGAACGGCAGGAAAGCCAAATATACCCAAATAGTCCTTTCTCATAGAGACACACTTTAGTATACATTGGCAGCAAAACCGTGACAAAATTCCGTGCATGAAAAACCAGCAGGTAGAGCAAGCAAATGAAACTTTTTGATTTGTGAGTGGAAGTGTATTTTCTTTAAAATGAGGTGTGTCACTTCTGACACTTTACTTACTTTGAAACTGAAGGCAGTATTTTAACACAGCTTGCATAATCTCTGCACGTGTTTTTATGCTGTGTCATTACTAGACTTGGCTGTGATGGCTAACGCCTTTAGCCTGCAAATTTTTACCTAAGCACTCTTAAATAAGAGTACCTCATTTTTTCTACTCAGACCTTTTCTACACACCAAAAGGTTTTCCCACGTCCCTGTGCCTTTTGCGGAAAGAAGTAACTGCTTAACATAGATTACCACCACTAAAAGTGTGCAAGTTATCAAAGTGTATAAATGATATGACCCTCACATAATTAGCACTATTGTGTTCAATTGTTTTTAGAAATAAAATACAAAAGAGTTGAAATAATCTGGAATGACTGAAGTAAGTAAATGGCACTCAGAATTAAGTAGGTGGCAAGTGAGAGCAGGTTTTCTCTCTTTCAGTGGGTAGCTGTGTGATTTTTAATAAATATGTAACATGCTTCTATTGCTGTTTTGTATGGTGCAAATGAAACTGATGTGATGTTGCCCACTACCTGGGAGCGGAATCAGAGCCTTGTCCCTACATACAGCGCCCTGCTCCACAATAAATTTTACTTCCATTGTGACATTTTGAAGGTACTACATGGTAATGACACATTGCTCCAGTAATTTTTGTACAATGTCTCTATGAGCTCTCCCCATCTGTCATAACAGCATTAGTCTTGGCATCTCTGATGAAAGAATCAAAATTAAAAGGGAGAACAAAAACTCAATTTCTAATGGGTTCCAAATACCCATATCTTACAAGCGTGAATTAAAAATTGCTCTCATCTTGCAGCCTTCCAGCCATATTACATGGATAAAAAAAATCAAAACTATTTAAAATTAAAAATCCTGTTAAAAGCTGATATATATATAAAGTAAAATTATATTCAGCTATTTAAACTAACCTGTTGATAGGCTGTCAGCTGTCATTTGATTTGCACTTCATTTGAATTAATAAAAAGTAAACCATAAGCATCATGATTTACAGTAATATAAAAGCTATTACAAAGGACCTTCATCATAAGCTTCTTTGTCATAAAGCTATTGTATCTTACTTTCAATCACTAAACACTGTTTAAAACATTTCCTAATACAATACAGCCTGATGCAATGCACAAATTCCTTTGCCCCACAGACTCACTATACCGACTTGACTGGAGTCTTTAGAGACAAATAAGAAGTTTCTTCTTATATAACTAATGTTTAAGACTTTGGTTTACCCACAGCTTCCACAGTACCTTTATGTCCTTCCCCTAGAGGTGCTGCTTTGTGAATTTAACAATGCCACGAAGAAAGAGCTGAAATTGCTGGATACCCAACAGTACTTCCTTTGAAGCTTTCCTCACTAGCAGTACATGCATAGTCTCACTGGCTCTTGTTTACACTGTCCCTTCAGGGCATTGCAAGGGTGTTGGTAGGAGAGGTGATCCCTGCATCTAGCCTTTGGAGACCCATCAGGTTCTCCCAGGACCCCGGCCACCATGTTGACCCCAAGGCACACCCCAAAGCACTGTGCACTCCTGTGCATCCCGGGCAGCACAGCTAGCAACCCCCAGCCAACCACATGATGTGGTCCATAGCACCATATCCTTATGTCAGAGCTCAACACTTCTACATTCTCTACCCTCTATCTATCTTTAAAACATTGTGCTTCATTGTGCCTGGCAGCACAATGAGGCTGCTCAGCTGTCTATTTTATACTCCAGTGCCATCACAGAAGGCAGGTGTGCTAGCATCTCTGAGCCAGCTGCAAAGAAAGAGCACTTGCAAGACCACAGTTTTGGAAAAATCTGGAATTACATCATTGCAGAGACTCTGACTGGATAGACAAACTAGGGAATCGTAGGACTACAGAACAGCTCCCAAAGACCCAAAGAAAGGCCGGAGATGAGAATAATTTACTGAAAGAAGGTGATAAAACTAGGGAGGAAGCACTGCAATCTCCAATATTGCAGAATCACAGAATGTCTGAGGTTGGAGGAGACCTCTGGAGATCACCTAGTCCAACCTCCCGACTCAAGCAGGGTTGTGGATGTACATGGGCATACTGGAGCGAGTCCAGCAAAGGGCTCCTAAGCACATTGCCCAGGATTGTGTCCAGGTGGCTTTTGACTATTTCCAAGGAAGGAGACTCCACAACCTCTCCGGGCAACCGGTTCCAGTGCTCAGTCACCCTCACACTAAAGAAGTTTTTCCTCACGTTCAGACGGAACTGCCTGTGCTTCAGTTTGTGCCCGTTGCCTCTTGCCCTATCAGTGGGCACTGCTTGAGAAGAGTCGGGCTCCGTCTTCTTTACAGCCTTCTGTCGGGTATTTGTATGCATTGATCAGATCCCCCCTGAGCCTCGTCTTCTCCAGGCTGAAGAGGCCCAGCTCTCTCAGCCTTTCCTCGTACAACAGATGCTCCAGCGCCTTCATCATCTTAGGAGCCCTTTGCTGGACTCGTTCCAGTATGCCCATGTATATCCACATCTCTCTTGCATGGGGGAGCCCAGCACTGGACACAGTACTCCAGAGGTGGCCTCACCAGGGCTGAGCAGGGCGGGAGGATCACCTCCCTCGACCTGCTGGCAGCGCTCTGCCTAATGCAACGCAAGGGGCCGTTGGCCTTCTTGGCCATAAGGGCACACTGCTGGCTCATGGACAACCTGTTGTCCTGCAGGACCCCTGGGGCCTTCTGCGCAGAACTGCTCTGCAGCAGGTCAGCCCTCAGCCTGTCCTGGTGCACGGGGTTATTCCTCCCCAGGAGCAGGACTTTGCGCTTCCCTTTGTTGAACTTCACAAGGTTCCCTTTTGCCCATCTCTCCAGGCTGTCAAGATCCGTCTGAATGGTGGAGAACCATCCGGTGCATCAGCCATTCCTTCCAGTTTTGTATCCTCTGCAAATTTGCTGAAGGGGCACTCTGTTCCATCGTTTGGGTCATTAATGAAGAACTTGAACAGGATTGGACCTCGTATTGACCCTTGACCCCTGGGGTGCACTGCTAGTTGCTGGCCTCCAGCCAGACTTTATGCCACTGATCACAACCCTCGGAGCTTGGCCTTTTTTTTTTCTTCTTTCCCGATCCACCTCACTCTCTGCTTATCTAGCCCGCGCTTCCTGAGCTTGCCTATGAGGATGTTATGGGAGCCAGTGCCAAAAGCCTCAGTGAAGTCAAGGAGGACAACATCTACTGCCTTCCCCTCATCTACGTAGGCAATCTTTTCATTGCAGAAGGCTATCCGGTTGGTGAAGTATGATTTCTGCTTTGTGAATCAATGCCATGCTGCAGCTGATCCTGTGTTTGATGGCACCATGGATCAATACAAGTTTGGCCCAGTCAAATTGAAAAAAACAATACCTTTGAGATGAGTTTTTGGTCTAGCAATGTATAAACGTTCACCAGACCCTGCCTCAAGGCCATGCTAGCAGTCTTTTGTGTTCTGAAATTAGCAGTGATTCGTTCATTCACAGCTGGACAGCAACGCGATTCCTCTGGGAGGAACTCATGACATACGCCTCCAGCCACTGACACAAAAGGACCTAGTTTTGGCCTCCACTAATTTAGCCATGCTCTGAGTGCACCAGGTAGTGGCAGAGCTCCTGTAACAGGCCATATATGAAAATTATTCATGTAGAATTAAGTGGAATTATGATGTGGCAGTACCTAAAAATACAGTGGCTCGCTGACACTGCAGAGCACCTTAGTGTCTTGCCTGGGAGGTGGTGAGTTTGCTTCCCCTGGGCTTGGCACTCCCCAAAGCCTCCTGATTCTTTTCTTGTCCTCACAAGTCAGAGCATGTCACGTCACAGAACTGATATAGCTGGGCATGCTACTTCAGGGTTTCAGCAGATCCTGTATTTGGAGTAGTTTGAAAAGTGTCTAGTGGCTTTGTCACATGGTTTTCCTGTAGTGTGAGACTAGCCGGCAAAGAGCCGTGAGCTCACATGTTTAGATGGCTTAGTTTGTGCACGCAGATAACGTGGATATCTGCCTGGCACCGTTTTACAGCAACTGAACATTCTTGACGCTGCCTCTTTTCATCCTTCTGCTCCCCCTTCCTCAGAAGCAGAATCAGCAGCTGTAACAACACATGGAGGACACTTGGCAGCTGCAAGACACAGATGCTGAGCTCCATAATAAACTTCTCCTGCAGAAGAATCTGAGTGCTTTTGCTGGCTGCTTAAAAGTCCTTATTGCTGTCTGAGTCACTTGCTCAACAAGCAGTTACAGCGTGCTGATGGCTGTGGGTAATCACTCTTGGGGTATAAGGACCAACCTAATTGACCTGCTTAGTCCTTTAGGATGCTGCTATAGCTTAGCTTTAATAATTTGTAACAGAATTGCATGCTTTCACAGTAGATATTAAAGAATAAGGTCTTGTGCAATGTTTAGTGGGCCATTGTTTTTATATCTAGAGATAGGCAATGGGCCTGGTTTTGATCACAAGTCACAACAGTGCAAACCAGAAATAACTTCACTGTTGTTAAAGGGGTATAAGCTGTTAAAAGACAAATGTGAGTGAGGTCAGGTGCAAAGGAGAGCTTAAAAAGAAGTTTGTATTGCCTGTTAAGGAAACAGCATTTCTTTAATATCTCAGAAACTGGTGTTTTAGAATTGGCCTACGATAAGGTTGTAGATAAGGACACAGGGTAGCAGGCTAATGTTAGAATAGCAGGAAGGCTCATTTCAGAAAAGCCTTGCAGAAGTGTGTTTTAAGGAGGCATTTGAAATAGGAGAGAATGGCCAACTTGGAAGGTTGTCCCCGAGTCTAAAGAGCACTGGGAAAGAAACCAGAGGCAGACGCTTGTGGAGATAAGGGCAGGAACCAGGCAGCAAGTCTGGTACATGGCCAATACAGACAGGAGGGATGCTAGAAAAAGATGGTTGGAGACGCAGGCAAGAGAAGAGCTCTAAACGTGAGGACCTGCAGCTTAGTCTAGATGCATAACCTGAGGGGGAAGTGATGAAGGAAAATGAGTGGAGAGTGACATGGTCAATGTTGAGGGGAGAAAATGATGTTTTTGGACCAAAAAATCCTTCCATCTCTGCTTTTATCTTGTCTGAGGAAAGCTATAGTCACAACAATAGAAAAGATATGACATCAATAGGAGTGGGAAGTGGGACAGAGACATAGAAAAGGGTGCAGGGTAATGTGAACAAGAGAGACCTCGTAATCAACAAAACAGGGCTGAAGGGGGCCCGTCTGAAGCATTTGCACACAAATAAGGAAGTGCCAAGAAGATAGCATTATAGGCAAAGCAGTCATGCCCTTTCTGGGAAATCAGTACAACTAGGGGTATCTCTGAAGCTCAGGACTGATGCACGCAGCACAGGGAACAAACAAGAGGAATCGGAGGTGTGCACGCAGTGGCAGGGTTGTGGTCTCACTGGGATCACAGAGACACGGTGGGATAACTCATATAACTGAAGTTCTGCAATGGATGGATACAGGATCTGTAGGAAGGACGGGCTGGGAAGACCAGGAGGAGGAGTTACCCTTTATGTGAGAGAGCTGCAGTTTTTTTCTGCCTTCGGATAGATGATGAGCCTGCTAAAAGCTTATGGTCAGCATTAGCAGGCAGACCAACGTTGCTGAAGCTGTGCTGGGTGTCTGCTAGAGGAAGGAGATGAGCAGTAGTAGAGTCATTCTTCAGACAACTGGAAGAAGCCTCACATTCACAGGCTCTGGTCCTCATGGGGGACTTGAACCACCCCAATATCTGCTGGAGAAAGAACACAGCAAAGCAGAATCAATCCAGGAGGCTTCTCAGGTGCATTGGTGACAACTTCCTGACACAGGTGATCAAGGAACTGATGAGGCGAAGCGCTGTGCTGGACCTGATGCCTACAGACAAGGAAGAAGTAGTTGGGGCTGTAAAGGCTGGGGGCAGCCTTGGCTGCAGTGACCATGAGATGGTGGAGTCTGAGGGGAGGGAACAAGACAAAAAGCAAAATTACAACCCTGGGCTTCAAGAGAGCAAACTTTAGCCTGCTCAGAAACTTGCTTGGAAGAATCCCATGGGCGACTGTTCTGGAGAGAAGAGGGGTCCAGGAGAGCTGTTTAATTTTCAAGAATCATCTCTACACGGATATTCCATCCCAGTATGTAGGAAATCAAGCAAAGGTGGCAGTAGGCCCACATGAATGAAAAAGGAGCTCTCAACAAAACTCAAACATGAAAAGCAAGCGCACAAGAGGTGGAAGAAGGGACTGGTGACCCAGGAGGAATATAGAGACGTTGCCCAAACATGAAGGGTCAGAGTTAGGAAAGCCAAAGCCCATCTGGAGTTGAATCTGGCAAGGGACGTGAAGAGCACCAGGAAAGGCTTCTACAGGTATATATCAGCAGCAAAAGGAAGACGAGTGAAACTGTGGACTCACTGCTGAATGGGACAGGGGACTTGGTAACAAAGAATATGGAAAAGGCCAAAGTACTTAACACATTCTTCACCTTGGTCTTTATGGGTCAGACCAGCCTTCAGGAAACACAGGTCCATGAAATCCATGGGAAAGTCTGGAGCAAGGAATATTTACCCTTAGTAGTGAAGGGTCAAAGTGGGGAACATTTAAACAAACTGGATGAATACAAGTCCGTGGGACCTGATGGGATGCATGGATGAGCGCTCAAGGAGCTGGCTGATACCGATGTCATTGTGAGGTCACTCTCGATTACATTTGAAGGGTCAGGGCAGTCGGAGGAGGTTCCTGAGGACTGGAAGAAAGCAAATGTTTTTCCTGTCATCAAGAAGGACAAGGAGGAGGATCCAGGGAACTTCAAGCCGGTCTGTCTCACCTTGACCCCTGGGAAGGTCACAAAGCAATCCTGGAAGCCATTTCCAAACACATTAAGGACAAGAAGGTGCTTGGCAGTAGCCAGCATGGATTTATGAAGCGCAAATCATGCTCAACTGTCCTGACAGCCTTCTATGATGAGATGACTAGCTCAGAGGATGAAGGGGGAGGAGTGGCTATTATTTATCTTGACTTTAGCCAGGCTTTTGGCACTCTCTTCCATGACATCCTCACAGACAAACTGATGAAGTCTGGACTAGATAAATGGGCAGAGAGGTAGACTGAAAACTGGCTGACCTTCTTCACTCAAAGTGTTGTGATCAGTAGCATGAAGCCCAGCTGGAGGCTGGTCAAAGTGGAGTATCCCAGGGGTCAATATTGTGACCACTATTGTTTAGCATTAATGACCTGGATGATGGGACAGAGTGCACCCTCAGCAAGCTTGGAGATGATGCAAAATCAGGATTGGTTGATAAACAAGATGCTTGTGCTGCTGTTCAGAGGGACCTTCACAAGCTGGAGAAATGGGCTGTTGGGAAACTCATGAAGTTTAACAACGGAAATGCCAAGTCCTGCCCCTGGGGAGAAATAACCCCATGTACCAGTATAAGCTGTGGGCTGAGCTACTGGAGAGCAGTTGTGTGGAGAAAGACCTAGGGTTCCTGGTAGACAGCAAGGTGAACATGAGTCAGCAATGTGCAGCTGCGGCACAGGAGGCCAACAACATCCTTAGCTGCACTGGGCAAAGTGTTGCCAGTAGGTCAAGGGAGGTTGGTGGTCCTTCTCTTCCGTCAACACCAGAATGCTTGGTCCAGTTCTGGGCTCCTCAGTACAAGGGAGACTTGGACGTATTGGAGTGAATCCAGCGAAGGGCTACTAAGATGGTTAAGGGACTGGAGTATCTGACACATGAGGAAAGGCTGAGACAGCTGGGACTGTTCAGCCTGGAAAAGAGAAGTCTCAGGCAGATCTTATCAATGTGTGTAAATACCTGATGGGGGAGGTAAAGGAGACAGAGTCAAACTCTTCTCAGTAGTGCCCAGTGGTAGGACAAGAGGCAATAGGCACAAACTGAAATACAGGAAACTCAATTTAAAGAGAAATATAAGAAAAAAAATTTTTTATTTTACCACACTTTATTTGAGGGTGGCCAAACACTTGAACAAACTGCTCAGAGAGGATGTGGAATCTCCATCCTTGGAGATATTCAAAACCCAACTGGCATGGCCCTGAGCAACCTGCTGTAGTTGACCGTACTTTTTTGACTAGATGATCTCCAGGGGCATCTTCCAACCTCAGCCATTCTGTATTCTGTGCTATTGGTATATAGTCAGATACAGTTAGTGGCTAGTGGTGGCTGATGGGAAATGATTCCCAAAGGTCAGATTTCCATTACCCATGTAAAGTAGTTCCCTGGCAGGGTCGAGGTCTCAGAGCTGACAAGGTTACCAGGGCAAAATAGGTGGATGCTTCATCTCAGCCAGTACTTGTGTCACCTTGGCAAAAAGCTACCAATTAATCCATGCCTAAGGAGAAGATTCCTGTTTCCACTTTAATTAGTGCTATATCTCCTTTATAAGACTGATATTTACGTGAACACTTTTTAACTGGAAAAGGATAGCCCTACTTGTAGTTTGCACATGCATTTCCCTGTGATCTTTTTGCGTCCTTGTATTCTAGCATTCAAATACAAACAGTTGTCCCAAGCTTCAGCTAGAGGATGAGGAAGAGGAGGAAGACACTATCAAACATGATTGTTAATATGTCATTTTTCCTGTCATTGTCCAGTATGCCTAGGATGGCTTTTAGTCTGAAAAATTACGGTCTCTCTGATATTAGTGACCACTATTGGACATCAGCATTTAAAATTTCCATCTTAAAATATGAGTCTTGTTTCTCTTGATATAAAATGGTAACTGATTTCATCTGCTTCTTTGGTGGGTGTTTGGTAAGTATTTTGGAGGATAGAGATCAACACTCAGTTTTATTCTATAACAAGCCTGTAATTTACTGATAGTTTAGGATTCTGGCATCTAAATAGACTACATCTAAAATTAATGTATTACAGTAAAGTCCAGTATTCCTCCAAATAAAATACAGATTAGGAAAAAGAAAATACTAACCTTCAAATAATAGGACTTAAATACCTATTTCAGCAGTCCTTTCATGCCGCTTTGCTTGCTTGAAAACAAATGAAGTATTTATTTTTAATTCATATTATCTTATTATTGCAGGTTTCCTTTACAACATGGCTCATTTCAAACAAAAAAAAAAACTGGTGGTTTTTTATCTGAGTTTTAGATTTTCCAGCAGTGATCAGTGACATGTATAGTGCTAGATGAACTGAAGTAACAATCTGTTTTTGTTTTTTTCTTTCATCACATCAGCTGTCCGATTCTCATGTTATGCGAATTGTCTCTGAGATGCAAAGACAGATGTAACAAGGAGACAAGGACTACTGTAACTTAACTATTGTGTTAGGAAGCAGAAGATGACCGCTGAGAACTTGTTCCCACTTACAGAACAAGTGATGGCTTTCTAACACAAGTTAAAAACTCCCAGTCTTTTCTAAGTAGGCTCTTGTCTGGTAAATGTGGTCTGAGACACATTTCTCCCTTTATGAATAGTCCTACTGAGGTAGCAATGCTATCCATAAGTGTCAAAATATTCACAGGAAGAGGATCAAAGGCTATAAGGACAATAATTTTAGAAGTCCAGAGGATCTGTTCATCAAAATCAGGTGCTGCAAATATCCTACCTTTAACTGATAGTGCAACTCATTCCTCAATGATTCCTCTGATGTCTCTGTCCTTTTTCCTATGCGGGAGTAGTCCTCTAGGTCATGTGTAAGCTGATGGGCCCATAGAGACTTAGCAATATTTCAGCCAGGAGAAGAATAACAGGACAGTAACAGAAACTGAGCGCAAGGCAGTGCTAGTAAAGGGAAACTACAAAGGAAGTCTTGAAAGAGGCTGGTGGTATATATGGAGAAACAGGCCTGAGGAAGGGATGGTTGATGGGATGCGGTAATGAAGGGAAGCTGTTTGATCTCTTGTAGCTCCTGGGTCAGTAGCAGCTGCACCTGCAGCACCCGTCGGCACTCTGTGTGCTGGCCAAGGCAGTGGCTGTGAGCGCCTGCTGCTCCGTGAATGTGGGCTGCCCTTCTGTACATCGCTGCATGAATCAAACATCTGGACTCCAGAGATACCTTATTAGTGCTGAACAGCCTTGATTCAATTATACTACAAGATTCGCACAAGATGGTATCTTTTGCACAGTCCTGCACTGTGAAGGGCTCATGGGAAGCACAGGGCTGGGGGAGAGGAGGTGAAGAGAATGGAAACTCAATTATTCTCTTGTTTCTGAAGTTGGTCCATAGTAGCGCATAAAGGGGTTGGAGGTTGGAGAGCTTGTATAGCCTAATGCCATGGCTGAATTTAACATTGATTCCGTTTTTTTAAGGTTCTGAGGCTCATTTGCTCCACAAATTCTACAGTTACTTAGACAAACATAAATTAGGACATGATTCTCAGGCCTGGAGTCTGAAAGTCAGTGCTTATCTACGTGGCCAGAGCTACCTGGTTGTGCATCTGCAGCTTCTGCTGGTTTTAAATTCACTTTTCTTTCCTGAAGTTAGAGAATGGATCAGCGAAATTGTAAC